TTATTATATCATTATTGTTATTGTTATTATTATTACCTTTGATCAACGTTTTTCAATAAAATTCACACAGAAATGAGTTTATAAATGGACATAAGACTTATTGAACCAAAAGAAAATTCGATAAAGAAACTATAAACAGACGGAAAATATGGGTTTCTTCGGTTTCATTATTGTGACGAGCGCCTTATTTCACCACGACGCCCCAGATTATGTTTTCGCTTCAAGCTAAAGTGGTTTATGGTAACAGGTTTACGGTCACAGGTTTGAGGTAACAGTCTTGAGGTCATCCACTCACAGGGAGTATTTTGTCGGCGGGCCATCAGTCGCTGAACATCTCCGGCAGATGTTTTCACACTGTCTGAGATATGTGTGTGTGTGGAGAGAGAGAGTGAGTGAGAGAGAGAGTGAGTGAGAGAGATAGAGATAGAGAGAGAGATGGGGGGAGGGAAAGAGAATGAGTGAAAGCAACAGGAGGAGTGAAAGGGAACAAAAAAGAGCGTCGACCAGGAGACGCAGCAGACATCAGGAAGAAACTGTCGAGGAAGAAAAGCTTTCAAGAAAAATCCAACCCATGCCAAGTTCGGAGCAGTCAAACAGTGCGCACCTGTCCCCTCCCAAAATAAAAACAACAACAAAACAAAAAACAAACAAACAAACAAAAAATAACAGACACAAAAAGAACATGTTAGGACAAACTTCGACGGCTTCCTTTAAGCAGAAACAACAACAACAACAACAACAACAACAACAACAACAACAACATCGAAAAAACAAAAAAACTGGAGAAAAAAAAGAAAAGAAAATCGGGCCAGGAAAACGCCCCTCAAACAGAGATACGCACAACAACACGTATATAATTGAACCATATTCATAATTCAGTCATACTAGGATCACAAGCCTATAATACGAGCAACAAAATAGGCAAACAGGAAACTATGAGAACTAAGAATGATGGGAGAAAAGAGAATTGGAAATCGGAGTGGGGCTGGGTTGTTTAGGGTTGTTTTTCGTTTTTTGGGGGGTTGTTGTTTTTGCGTTTGTTTGTTTGTTTGTTGCTGGTTTTTTTGTTTTTTGGGGGGGAGGGGGGGGGGGGGGA